AGGATGGTCTCGATCTCTTGACCTCGTGATCCACCCGCCTCGGCCTCCCACAGTGCTGGGATTACAGGCTTGAGCCACCGCGCCCGGCCAAGCCTCTATTCTTTAGGTAAGGAGAGCACCAGAATGAGAGGTATTCAAGAGATGAAATCAAAAGTTGTCAGAGGCCAGGTGTGATGGCTGACACCTATAATCCCAGCACTCTGTGAGGCTGAGGCAGGTGGATGGTTCACTTGAGCCTCGGAGTTGGAGACCAAGCTGGGCAACATGGTGAAACCCTGTCGCTATAGTACAAAAATTAGCTGGGTTTGGTGGCATGCACCTATAGTCTCAGCTACTCCAGGAGGCTGAGGTGAGAGGATCGCTTGAGTAAGGGAGGTTGCAGTGAGCTGAGATTGCACTGCTGCACTCCAGCCTGGGCAACATAGCAAGCAAGAAGAAAAAAAAGTTAGAAAAAAAGTTGTCAGAGATTCATAAATGGGATTCAAACATTAGGTGAGAGGTTTGGATGAGATAAACACTAAAATCCCTTCAAACTTGGTGGGGCGCGGTGGCTCACGCTTGTATTCCCAGCACTTTGGGAGGCCGAGGTGGGCGGATCACGAGGTCAGGAGTTCGAGACCAGTCTGGACAACATGGTGAAACCCCGTCTCTACTAAAAAAAAAAAAAAATACAAAAAATTAACTGGGCATGGTGGTGTGCACCTGTAGTCCCAGCTGCTCAGGAGGCCGAGGCAAGAGAATTGCTTGAACCCAGGAGGCAGAGGTTGCAGTGAGCCAAGATCACACCACTGCACTCTAGCCTGGGCGACAAAGCAAGACTCTGTCTCAAAACAAAACAAAACACAAAACAGAAATTAGCTGGGCGGTAATGCTCGCCACCTCCACCTTCACCTCCTCTTTTTGTATTATTATTATTTTTGAGTGAAGTTTTGCTCTTGTTGCCCAGGCTGGAGCACAATCTTGGCTCACCACAACCTCCGCCTCCCATGTTCAAGCGATTCTCCTGCCTCCAGAGTAGCTGGGATTGCAGGCATGCGCCACCATGCCTGGCTAATTTTGTATTTTTAGTAGAGATGGGGTTTCTCCATGTTGGTCAAGCTGGTCTTGAACTCCGGACCTCAGGTGATCTGCCGACCTCGGCCTCCCAAAGTGCTGAGATTACAGGCGTGAGACACCTCGCCCGGACTTTTTTTTTTTTTTT